CGATCATCGAAGTCGTGTTGAACCCTTGTACATCTACCTCGCATCGAAGACGTCTGGTTGGTAACCCACGTCAATATATCCAGTGATAAGCTTCGATACGCGCTCGATCTGTTCATCAATAGTCGGTGAACAGAAATCATTGTCCTTGACGATAGGGAACGTTGCCTTCGACCTCAAGCAGAATCTTCTTTTCCTCAGGGGAGAATACCATTTGCTAGCCATACGAAGGAATATCCTCTTCCACGCGCTTCTGATAGCACTGACGGCGATTCTTCTAGTATATACATAAGGTGAGTGCATAGTTCCAAATTTTTCAAAACTGATCTTTGCAACATCATTGGCGCTTGTCGCACCATTCGCTGTGAAGAACGACATGGGATTATCGCTCTCCTCAATGATTATTCAGCCCAAGTTTCTTGGCTCTATTCTTCGAGATAAGGTCATGTCCACATCCTGTGTCCATGATGAACTTCGCTCTTGATCCTTTTGCAGGGACTGACAAAGTTTGCACTTCACCTTTGGCGCCATGTTTACAAACATGAGGTATGAGCTTGTGTCCGAAGACCAATCCGTCCTCTTTATCGAATCTCATTGCGATAGCAATGTCACCATTCGGACCAACTGGGATATGTACTTCTTTGATGCTCGTGTTCGGAGTCATGAGAATGGCCCTTGCTTCGGCAACCTTTGCGTCAATCCTGTTCTGTTCCCGGTGGGTCTGGTTGGTAACCTCCCATATATCGTACCTCTCTGGTCTCAATGGTTTCTTGATCACTGGTTTCCATACAGCCTTTGTTGAATACACAGCTTCGTTGAAGATGATCTCAGCAGTGTCATCATCAAATGAGATCCTCTTGTCCTTCGCGCTCCTCACCTTCCCGCTGGCTGCGATTCTTTCATCATCGGATTCTTCCAAAAATGACAAGTCTCCCACCGCCGGTGCTCCTGGCCTTGCCTTAGGTTTTGGTTTTGATCTGGGCTTCGGCCTTGGCTTGTCCTCATCAGCATCAGCTGCTGCACAGAAGTCTCTTTCTTGGGCGCTGCCTTTGGATCATGATCGAACTCGCAATCTTTCGCCTTAGGGCAGTTCCCTCTAATCCAACTCCAGCAAGCAACTTTCCCTTCTCGACCTGGTGAAGTACTCCTTGATGGGGTTCTTGTCTTCTTATGACTGTATGGACATCCTTTTCCTTGAGTGCATTTGCCTTTTGCATGGAATTTGCAGGGGGTCTTCTTCTTGTCCACACTTGCGCTTCTTCCTTTGTCTTTGCCATCGCCTTTGCCTTTCTCCTTCTTGTCCTCAGGGCGTTTCTTAGGGTTTGGCTTGGGCTTGACGGAGGCAGCTTCTTCTGCTTCACCCGCGCCATCCGATCGCTTCGGCTTCTTCTTTGGTTCACTTGGCGCTGCTTTCACTTTGGGAGCCGGGCCACCTGGCTTTAGGTTCTGGAATACGCTGGCGACATTCTTAACAGCTTGCTCCTTCTCGGGGAGCATCTTGTCACAGTCTGTCTCTCGATGTGTCTTCGGATGATGTCCCGAATGTGCTTGTAGGTCTTCTTCAAATCTCCTTCATCGAGGGCAGTGTAGACATTTATATCATACACCATCAAATTGGAGTTTCTGATCTTCCTCCATAACAGGTCTCTCAGGGTTTCATCACTCGGGATGTCTGTTGGTTTCATTCCCGAAATGATCTCATCATCTCATCCCATGTGTGGAAGAATATAGAGATAGGTTCCTATCCCCTTGGTTCTCCAGTTGATACAAGTGTATAGATGTATACAAGACCTCAATGTTGGATGTCGTCATAAAGTTGAGAAGGATCAACGCCAGGACCTCTCAATTCCTTTGATGACTGTGGAGGTTCTTCCCTTGGCGTTGATACGTGTCCTCAACTTCATAGCAGCGTTGTTCCCTTCTTCCTTAGAGTCTGTGACTACCTTCGTCAATGCTAGACCCAATTTTGCATCAATGGAATGAAATCTCCGATCGCCAGAATCCATGAGTTTGTCTGGATCAGGGTCTTCAATCGCTTCTTTGATCCAATCAATCCAAGGTTGTTGATCAGAATCATTTGCTGCGCTGATGACTGCTTGAATCAGATTGGCCTTCCACAGTCCTAGACCATGGACCTTGGGCCGCGGGGGCACATTTACCTTCGACGCTTTCCTGGAAACCTTCGGTGTTGTGAAAGTGGTAGAAGACGAAGACGCCGACACTGCTTCGGACAACCTGTTCCTTAGCACTGCATTCACGGCTTCTTGTTCTTGCGCTTCTTCAAATTCTTCAGTAAAGCTCGCAAAGGCTTCTTCATACCGTTCATACATACTCATCGCGATCGTTTCTCAGTCTGTGGGTTCCCCCTTCATAGTACTTAACATCTTCTCTCAAACGAGCACTTTCTTCGTCGTCTGGCCGACGGGTTGGTAACCCTGGCGAAGCTTTGCCTTCGTCTGCGTATTCTCCGACTTTGTCTCCCAACACTCCTTCTCGGTTTCTTGTAAGTTCTCTTCCAACTCATGAATCTTGGTCTTGATCTCTGCTCCTCCTTTGCCGTCAAATGCGGGAGTCCTCAAAAGGTTCTCCCTGTTCAACATTTTGTTGGCTTCCGTGAGTGGGAGATTCGCATCTTTCAATTGTTGTTGTTCTTCTTTGGCTTTCCGATGTATTCCATCCATCGTTGCTTCCAGTGTACTCATAGCCTCTCGCATCACTCCTGCTTCATATTGGTATTGCTTTGCTCTCATCTCCTTCTCGGTGATCTCCAGCCGATATCCGTGGGTTTCGGTCTTTTGGTCAAAGTCGTGGGCATTCATCTCGGCAGCGGTACTGAGCTCCGTTCCCTTGATTAATGCTATTTGCCCACGAAGGTGTTCGACCATCCTCCGTTCTTGATACTGCTGACCAATCGTCTCAGTCACTTCATCGACCAATTGCCTTTGATGCACTTCACTATTCCATTGTCTCTCTCTCTTTCTCTCTGTGCTACTTCCAACATGTTGCTGTTCTCGTCTTGCATGTTGCTGTTCTCGTCTTGCAATTCTAACATCCGCATTTGGAGTTGATTCGCAACACTGATGACCGCTTCATTCTCCTCTCTCAGACGTTGAGCACGTCGATTGGAAGTATCTGAGTTCTGATTTTGTTCCTGGATATAGTGGAAAGCACTCTGCAATTCACTGGTCATGCCTCTCATCTTGGATCTCACCTCATCGAGTTGCGAATGTTCTTGATGACTTTCTTGAGCAAGCTCTTCGTAGATGTGATCTGCCATTGGTTCCGCAAGGCGAAGTTTGCGTTCAAGTTCCTCCTCTCTGACGGTTGCTCCTTCGTCCTCTTGTAGCATCTCTTGTAGGTGATCGTGCATGGACTTATTGCACACTGTCATCTGCGAGAACTCTTCCTGCAATTGTGAATGGAGACTTGTGTATCCAGCGTGTAGACAATTGTACTCATCGTGCAAATACTGGTACAAAGCTCTGGCTGATCGTAGTTCTTCAATGAGTTGCATCTCTGTTTCTTCCATCCCTTTTGCATCCTCGATCTCTACTCTTTCAAACCCCCTTTAATGATCAGTGATCTGGCAATATTTGTCCTTGGCGATGTTGATCTTTCAAGTCGCTTCATTACTCTCTTCGCGTTGCTTGTTCTTGCATCGGATCCGGTAGCAGTCGGTTCCGGTGGAACGACCCTACCCTCACCTGACAAATGCGATCCTTTCGGCATGGTCATTGCTGTAGCATCTGCTGAACTCGCACCAGTCAATGATCCTGGCGACGATTGAGACATAGCTCCTTCAGGTGCAGCGAAGGAAAACTGTTCACTGCTCTTTCCTCCGGAACTAGACATTGCAGGTCTAATGTCGACAATCTTCTCTTTCGGTCTCGTCTAAGCTCGTAACCTCTGAGCGGCTACGGCTGATAACCTGCGAGTTAAAATTTAAACCTGAAATCGTGAAGATACCAGAACTATCCTTTCTCTCCATGAACTTCCAAAAGTGCCGCGCGTCTCTTTTCCGCTCATGGGGGCCTTGAGCCAAAGGTCCAGTCGTCACACAGCATGTATAAGCTATACATATACTATGGCCTGTTGCTGCACTTCCATTGACACAAAGATTACGCATATTCTAAATGTTTAATTCCTTCGCAACACGTTTTTTGAGCTGGTTTTAATCAACTGTCATCTACAGTGGTTTTATGTATTACTTTTAACATGTTCGGTGCATTTAATTTCTATTCAGATCGTTCTTTTCAATGGATACATATAGCCTTTGTTTGTTTGAACATTTTTCAATTTGTTTTGAGACAGTTTTAGTCTAGTTTCACTAGATTATGTTTGAATATACGTGCCATTTCACATCCACAAAAAAGATCTTTGATCTTTGATGGAACGTCTTAGAGAGGAAGCCTATCTTGATAAGGAGTTCTTTTTGGCAATTCAACTTTCACAGAGATCCAAAAGAAAAGCCTCTGAAATGAAAGCCTTTAAGTATATAGTATATAGGATATAGGGCGTTTAACTATTGCCTAGAGACCCAGAGGGTAACTTTTGAAATGAATGCTTTTATATTGAAAATATGCGTGTTCATGTAGAAGTGATCATTCCCAGACATCAAACAAAACACCTTTTGGAATGAAAGCTTTTGTATACAGTATAAAGCTTCTTGATATAAAAGTGATCATTCCCAGAGATCCAGAAAAAGCCTTTTGCAATGAAAGGTCTTGAAGCTTTTGAACATAGAAGTGACCATTCCCAAGGAGCCAAAGGAAGGCTGTTGGAACAACATGTTTTAGATAAAGTTTTTATATAGAAGTGATCTGTGGCCCACATCTGGTAAAACCACGCAAAAGGTAGGAGGGGATAGCGTATATTATATATATACACATACGTTTATTTAAGTAGCAGTAGTAGCAAGAAAGCTTGGTTGGAGGCCATCGACAAAGGTTGGAGGCCATCGCTGGTGGTAGTAGAAGTAGTTGCAACAAAGCTAGTCGGGACGCAGAAGGGCTCGGGCGAAGCTTCCGTGAACCCTTCGCATGGTCCTAGGCTAGGTGGTCCAGTGCAAGCACTTGGGGGGGTAGCACAGCTCTGGTTCTTCAAATGCTTCTCTGGCTTCTGAAGCTTCTGAGGGTGTGCGAAGTTTTTGGGAGAACCCGAGCTGCAAGAAACTGCTGCTACACAGGATGCCAATTCCACCGCATCTCGCCTGGTCTCAGACTCATCCCTGCTGATTTCTTTTTGCTTGCACCCCAGAACGCACCACCTTCTTTAATGTGAAAGTTTAGGATGCCAACGCGCAGCTCTGAGGTCTTGCCTCTTGGCGCTGCTGGGCAGTTGCATTTTTATCCTGCAAGATCTGCGAACGATATGGAGACTGAGAACAGCTGTGGGTTGAGAAGAACAGCTCTGAAGCTCTACTAGGAGCAAAAAGCTACTAGTAGCTCCTGGCATTACTACTAGTAACAAGAAGCTACTGGTAACAAAGGGCATCACTACTAGGAGCAAGAAGCCACTAGTATAAAGGATGACCCATGTCATAGGCTCTACCATGTTCAATGTTAGAAAGTCAATTCTGCATGCAATAATTTGACTCCCGTCGTTTTGTAACAAGTACTTAAAATTAAATATATATATATATGTATGTATGTAATATGCGCGCCGCTCTTTTTTGTTTCTGGGCTATATGGCGGTTGATCAATGTTCTTTCATCCTGGAATGGCCATTCTTCGCGGAAAAAAGATATATATCTTTCGCGGATCTTTCGCGGCCTGATCGAGAAGCATGGTCCTACAACCATGTCTAGCTAACATGGGCCGGAGCATGTCATAGTATCACAAAATAGGGGCAAACATCTTGCAGCATGATTTGAGCAGAAGGTTGAACGTTTCCACAGCTACTCAGGGTCACTTGCAGCATCTGTGCGACAATTGTGCCAAATAGAGTCAGGCACAACTCAACCCAATCCTCGTGCCAGCTACCGACACAGGGTGGTGCAGCTTGGCGAATGTTGGGGGGGCCTCAAGCGGGAAGCCGTAACTTTTGCAAACATCTGCACAGACCGTCAGAGCAGCTGCAGGTCGTTGCCTAACTGTCAGGGCTGTGCCTACTCAGGTTGCTAGTCTGTGACAGTGGGGACAGGAATCGGAGAATCCTTTACGCACTGCCACGGCTGGGCACGGAAATGTTGAGGCTTCAGTTCGTTAGTCCGTGACAGATGGGCACACTTCCGCCCACCGGCTCTGCCGGAGGATTGCCTTGTATTTCTATTCTTTGTCAGTCCGGTAGAAAGGAAAACATATGAAAGCGATGACCTTCGAGAAATCTTTCGCGGAACAAAGAAGATACTTTCGCGAACCTCATCGCGAATCTTTCGCGGATGGTTCTAACAACATCTGAAAGGCTGCTTTATATAAAACTCCTTACGCGGGGTGTTCGATCAACTCCCATATACATCATGTGGGCAAGAAAGAGCAAGACCCTGTCCCCCCCGCGTAGAGCCAAAAGCCCCAGTATCCTGCCTCAGGAGTGAGCGAGAGAGTCCTTGGCAGCAGCACCTGGCCGTCTTGCAGCGTTGGTCCGAATGAAGTTTCAGACTGCAATTGATCATCACCCTTCCAGCTTAACATGTTCCAAAGGTATACTATGTCTGTGTATGTCTGTGTGTACACCCCGTGACAACAATAATTACAGATCGATCGATATTGCAAAATTTGAGGGCCGTGCATCCAAGAGGAGAGCAGGACAGGACGTTTGAACCAGTCTATATAGAAGCGCCTTCTTTCCCTTTGACGGTGACAACAGCTGCTGGAGCATGGCTTCTGTGGTGATTGGAATTCCAGCCTGAAACAATTCCCATATCAGGCAAACTTCAGAATCTCCAACTCTGCAAAGAGAAGCTCGACGCAACATTATTTCTCACGAGAGAAAGGTCCTCCAACTGCCTCTGAACCGCAACAATGAAATAGATGGGTTTAAGAACTCCCGAGTCTGACTTTCGAACAGGTCCTCAAACCCATGTGGAAAAGAAGCGGCCAAGCTCTTATTGAATTTGTACCAAGCCTAGGGACTTGAACGTCGTTTGGTTCTCACTCATATCATCTGCTAGATGATATCTGGGTGATCAACCTAGGATAATTTAACAAGGCAATGACACCTATGGAATATGTCAATATGACAATATGTGCCTGCTTGAAGAGTTCATCTGGAGGAGCACGGGGGCGCTGCACCTGCAACTTGCATCTGTCCGAGACAGCATTCCTGATGAATCATGATGGATCTACCCAAAGTAATGCTTCACATCACAATCAAAGCAACACTCTATCTCCAATGCTCTCCACTCACATTCATCTCTAGATTTGCCTCCTCTTTCGGCCGGACATTGGAATGGTGAGCGTTGGCCTAGCAGCCGCTGGGCACAAAGAAAGAGTGACAGCAAAATACAGCAAATCTCGAGGCTCAACAATTACTAGCACATCGGAAGGATGGCTTCGCACTCAAAACTCGGCAGTATAGTTTCATTGATCTTCATGTCATCTCCCATCTATATAGATTGTGCTGGCTTTGGCCAAAGCCATGAGTCATTGTTCGCCTTCCGACGCGGCTTTCGCGGCTCCTTCTCCTGTCATTCCAATAGTACTTGATTGACAAGGCTGAAAGACGACGCTGCATGCCCAAAATTTTTAGTTAGATTTCCAGGGTACTTTTTGTTAGTGTCCGGTCCACGTGGTCAGTTCGTACACTCTCACATAGAACTCAAGGGACTAGAGTGAGAATGAGACTTTGAGAGAGAAGACTAGAGACAAACATGGAATAGCAAACGGCTGTAGCAGCAGGAGAATGGAACGTAAGAATCCAACAAAATGCGACACTTAAACTGTATACATTGCATGAAATTTTATGCAAGCTAGCAACAAGCAAAAGACCCCAGCCGCTCCAGCCAAACCCAAGCCTCTTGTTGCCGCTGGCTTCTCTCCTGCATCCTGCTCAAAAGTGCCTGCATCAAATACACGCATGAATCATGAACAAGCAAGCACAACACCCACAGTAGTGCAAGAACATGTAATGGAGATTGTCCAATTCCCTGCTCTTTCCCAGGCCTCTGCCTCCGGAGCAAATTCCCTGACCTCTTGCGACTCCGATCCAGTCACTATCTGTTTACAGTAGTCCATTCCTTGTGATCAGTGTGAGATTGCGTTACTCTAAAAGGCTGATTGTTTGATGTTGTTCTAGAGACTTGGCCTTTTTGCACTGACCCAGCTACAGCACTGATGAGCAGTACAAGTATGAAATGCAAAGAAGGTGGTTTCTTGATTCACGTGCGTTGGAATACGTAGTTGGAGTGATTCCGGCTATTTTCTGTTTGGACTTTGCGTGCGCACTAGAATCTAGAAGAGAGCACACGCGGACTGAATGTCCAAACCCGAAACCTCGGTGAAGAGAAAAACGTAAGTAGCGCAGTCGGGTCTCCAAGTTCAAATTCGAAAGGTCAATGAAATGACAAAACATGACTGCAGACCTCCAATACGCAACCAGACTGAAAGCTAGCGAGGCGGGATGTAGCTAAAGCGATCGATTTCACAAATGCTACACTGGCGTCTTCGTCGTTGGCAGTCCAGCGCGTGCCTCTGGCAATTTCTGCGGTAAACCAAAAGGAACCCGAAGGTGCCCGTGATTCCAGCGTGGTCACACGCACGCACGCGCACCCGCGCACCCACCCACCCACCCACCCCGACCCACCATGGTGCCCCACCCACCCCACCCCACCCACCCCGCCCCGCACGCACAGCTTGGCGTCGGCTGAAGATTGAAGATTAATGATTGCGAGTTGGGTGTCAACAAGTTAGCAATCATTCATGTATGCTGTTTTTCTGCGGACATTGGGATCAAGCTACAACATGCTACAACAGCTATTTTCTGGAAGTGGACCAGATCAACGTTGTTTATCCCGTGCTAGAGCAGCAATTGAATGCAATTGAGTCATAATGCCGATTTCAATTCACGGCTTGAAGTCCTGAGAAAGGCCCGCCCGCCCGCCTGGCCGCCCGCCCACACGCACGCATACATACACACATTTGTTTTGAGGTGGAATGGCTCAGGACTGCACATGAAACCCGTTAAGTTTACAAACCGAACCTAAAAAGCACGACAAAGTAGTTAATATATTGGACTTTAGACTTTAGACTGCCCAACTCCCTGCCCTTGTCACATTCATATAGTCCCCACCTCGCCCTCTCCAGGAATTTCTCGGACCTCTTGTGACTCCTGCAATCAATTCAAGTTATATGAGGTTGATTGGTTTGGGAGTCAAACAAGCAATTGCTCAACGGTCTGTGAGATAAAGGGTCAGGTTGGTATCATTCTGGATTCTGGGGCCGAGCACACCGGCGTAACGTGCCCATTCGCACGACCGTGCACGAAAGTCATGCCACCATGAGAAGTCGGTCAGCGCAACTGGGCAACCCGAAAAGTTTGATCGCGGTGGGCTTTGTGTTATGTACAGAGTAGGTTTGTGAAGGTGTCCAATTATCGCTGACGATGCGTGACGCTGCGTGACGATGCGCTCCGACGCGTGAGAGTGAGAGTGAGAGTGAGTTTTAGTGAGAGTGAGTGTGATTGAGAGTGAGTGTGAGTGAGAGTGAAGGTGGGCGAGTGAGCGCGGGCGGGAGTGGGAGTGAGTGAGAGTGGGAGTGAGCGTGAGTGAGAGTGAGAGTGGGAGAGTGAGAGTGGGAGAGTGAGTGAGAGTGAGAGTGGGAGAATGAGAGTGAGAGTGAGAGTGAGAGTGAGAGTGAGTGAGTGTGATTTTGAGTGTGAGTGTGAGTGAGTGTGGAGTGTGAGTGTGGAGTGTGAGGGTGAGTGTGAGAGAGTGAGAGAGTGAGAGAGTGAGAGAGTGAGTGAGTGAGTGAGTGAGTGAGTGGGTGGGTGGGTGGGTGAGTGAGTGAGTGAGTGAGAGAGTGAGAGTGTGAGTGTGAGTGTGAGTGTGTGAGTGAGAGTGACAGTGAGTGTGGGTGAGAGTGAGAGTGAGAGTGGGAGAGTGAGTGAGAGTGGGAGCGTGTGTGAGTGAGTGAGAGTTGTTCTTTCTTCTCTTGCTTTGAAAGCCGTAAAGATTGATGTAATACGTTCTGCATGCTTCTTCATGCCTCTTCGTACCTCTGCTTGCGTCTCCATGCGTCTTCGTACCTCTTCATGCGTCTTCATGCGTCTTCGTCGATAATTGGGACCCCTCTATCGCCAACAATGTGTCCAAAATGGCATCTTTTTCGAAAGGTTTGTTTGTATTGTGCCAGAATATTTTGAGGGTGGTGTCTTTGCTTTGAGTTTCAGAATTTGAAACTTTGCAAGTACCGCACTTTGCGAGGTCAAGCTTCGGAAATTGTGGCAAACGCATCATTTTACACTCTGCAAGCATGGCCCCATAGCCGCTTGCCTCTTTGCTGCTGAGCGCCCGCGTTAAATCGCGAGGACTTGGTTGCAAGGTTGTTTACACTTGGGTGAACTCATAGTTATCTTCGCTTTTTGAGGGGCATGTCGGTGGGTATCTTCCTGAGAATTGGCTGGTATGTCCCAAGTTTCATGATGAAACGTGAAACAAGGATACGCTTCGCGAATTACTCTCTCTGTCTCTCTCTATGCCCACTTTTGCGGAGGAAAGACGCTTGTGGCGTCATATTCCACGTTGACTGGTGTTAGTATTAGCGCATTTCAGCGCTAAATGCCAAAGCTTGCCGCTTGTCCTCTTCCCCCTTCCTCCCTTTGTTCCGGCGTTCCTGCAGCATGCATGCCTGCACGCCTTCCATCCTGCCTTCCTGCGCTCAGCGCCATGCATACAAGAACAGAACAGACAAAAAAAAAAAACAATACATTTATATAAGAAGATTGCGCTGTACATTATAGCATTGCACTAAGGAAACTAATATCTTTGTTCTGTCTCAAACGTTCTTGTTAGGGTATATAGTGACGTTTGTTCAGAGTTTCGGGTGTCCTGAATTGTGACCTCTTTTGCGTGCGGTGGCGGGGGAGCCTGCACAACTCCAAACTCAACTGTATAATCAGTGATCAGATCCGAAAGGTTGCTGTTCAACTGAAACGGGAAAATAGAATGGCAAGGTGTAACTTTGTCAATCATATGATGTGTTCATGTCAAGCTTTCCTCAGGCCGCATGTTTCCAGCAGCTTCGTTGGTGGACTCCTGCGATGCAGGAGGTGGGGCACCACAACCACCTGCATAGATCTGCCACTATAGATAAAGACTATAGATACAAGTATGCATCATATAAGTATAAGTATGCAAATATTCATATCGGTGGATAGGTAGATAGGGAGAGAGGCAGATAGGCAGGTAGATAGGTAGATAGGTAGGTAGGTAGACAGGTAGATAGGATAGAATAGGGTAGAGTAGAGTAGAATAGAAAAGATCAGACTAGAACAGAATAGAATAGAAGAGGATAGCATAGAAGAGAATAGAGTAGAATAGAATAGAAAAGAATAGAATAGATAGATAAGATAGATAAGATTACATCAGGTCAGGTTAGACAAGATTAGACCAGATTAGATATGAGCAGGATATTCAAAACTCGACTCCCAGAATGGGAAAAAAGTCTTCGCTCTGCTTCGCTTTTTCCTCCGTTTGGATTGAGTCTTGCCCTCACTGGTCAAAGCGGAAGTTTCTCTTCTCACTGACTGAGCGTGATGGGTGCAGAGAGCTCGCTATTCCACTTGCAGGCACACGCCACCCAGCACCAGCAACCTGTCTCACCACGTGCACAGCCGGCTCACAGCACCAGCACCAGCACCGGCACCCGGAACCAGCACCAGCAACCTGTCTCCACCACGTGTACAGCCAGCTCACAGCACCAGCACCAACACCGGCACCCAGCACCAGCACCAGCAACCTGTCTCAAAAACGCGCACGGGCAACTCATTGTTATTTGAAGTAAGAACCCCATAGCTTCGCTATCTGGGGAAAAAGCCTCACTCAGACAAACGCATGGCATGATCAAATGCAAAATGTAGAGTCCTCTGTCAGAATGCCCTCTTCTGCTGCATCTTGTGGGGGCGCTGGGGGTGCCTGTCCAAGCTTGTTACACCCCAGATATATATATATATAATTTCAGAGAATCATTGTGTTCATCGAAGCATTAGCCACAAAGCTGCCAAGCTATATGCTTCCAGATCCTTTGACAAATGCAATTTCAGTGACACACATTCTCTGTTATGCCATAAGATAGCGGACAAAGCCGTCCGTCCTCTGGCAGCATGTCCCCTGCAGCTTGTTCGGCATCTGTTGCCTTTAACATCTTCACTGCACCAGCGAACCAGAAACACGAAGCATAGCGGCTCCATACCGTCCCAATGGTCCCCATGCCAGTCCTCCTGCGTCGCTTGCTCCTCTGCGTGCTCTGGGAGTGGGAGTGGTGCCTGCCACCACAATGTTTCTGCATCAACTTGACCACTTTGAACACCTCTTTATCATGCTGCTTATCAGTGAGATTCATGACTTGGGCAGTCCTCCGGCAGCGTGTCCCCAATGTTCCCAGAGGGAATTGTGTCTGATTCCTCACAGCAATTCATGGTTTTACCCCATGGGCAGTGTGTCTGCTTTTGTAGTATGTTGATACGTTGCTTGCAATCCCTGGAGACAACATGACCAAACAATGTGGATGTGGTGCCAACCACCAAGTACGAAGGTCTAAGTACGATGCTCCTAGAATACCTTTAAAGGTGGACTCAGGTTGTCTTGCAGCGACTCAATGCTTGTGCTGCCACTCAATACCTTATCAGAAGGCTTTATGCTGCGAAGAAGAGTTTCGCTTCTTTGGGCAGCGTGCTTTCACATCTACAGTATGTATGTATTTTTAAAGTTCAACTCCTCATGTGTTTGCAAACTGCTCTGGCCTGTGGGGATAGGCCGACGATGTGGGACCTTAGTTCCCACAGCTTCTCCCTCCAACTCCGATGCAATTGGAGAGTTTCCGACTTTCATCACAAAATGCAGGAGGCTAATGTTGAGTCTCCCGCTTCAATTGAGCATTTTCACTCTGCAGCCTATCAATAATCTCCTCCAAACGGTTGACTGGAGAACTTTAGCCTAGACTAGGCCAATACGTTTTTGGACATGTGACATGCAGGTGAAAAACAAGAACACTCCTTAGCATTCACATCCGCACTGACAGAAATCGACTACCACTCCTGCAACTTCTGGAGCTCTCCAGAGCGGGACTCCTGGCCAGGTCTTCTGCGGTTCGCATGCCAAAAAAGAATGAAAGCGGTTTGCAGTTCCCAGCACCTTGCCTTTGGTTCCGCGTTTGCCAGAAAGGCTCCAACAACCTGCACACACCATCCAGTGCGTGCACCATGCAAAACGATGTATATTGTGGTTGCTCGAGTGAAAGTTCACTTTTGCAAGCACCACAAACCTTGCCTCCGGCTTGCTTGGTCTGTCCTGAACCAAGGTGTTGGCTCCTCATGGTGGTTGGTGAACACAACAAGTGTCCAAATGAATGCCCGACCTCTGTCCTTCAATTCAGTACTGGTCTCCAAATGCATTTGAAAATATTGGCTTGTGCTATATTATGCTTCTTGATGTTTCACAGGAATTGAATGTGATGGCCCCTGTTGAGACTCTGAGGGCAAGGCCCCTGCTACACAAATCTGGCACAGGTGATGGTGCATTGACGCGTGGTACCTCGGTGCAGTTACAAAACACATAGCAGCCTAGGCATCATAGGATCAGGTTGGTTCGTGTCTGTAGGGGTCTGACGTATTGGCCCTGCGTGCATCAAGAAAATAGATTATATCAATAGCTTGGTGAGGATTGTGACTGACTTTCCAGGATCCCAAGCACGATCCACTTGATGCAGGACAGGCAAGTCCTGGATTGTCGATACCCTGGATTTTGCTGGTGGTTCTCTATGCTATGCAGACACAAGACAAGGCCAGCTGTACAACATATGTCACATGTCCCATATCCTTGCATATTTGGATTAGGTAAGACACGTCTAAACTGCTAATAGTTGAGGGTTGGTCCTCACACCGATCGCTGGAGTGGTTGCGAAGCCTGTCACACTTGTTTGAAATGGGATTGGAGGCCAACCTCCATCAAGACAACAACATCTCCGCGTGCACTACAAGAGCTTCGAAGAGGGTTACAGTAACATATTGAAAGAGATTGCAGCAGGGCCGGCTCCTCGTGTTCGCTGGCATGCAAAGGGAACAAGTGGCGTCATAAGCGCACAAGGACCTTGACTTTGGTTCTTCGCATGTTCTGCTACCTCTTCGCCTATTTGCTAAACTCTGAAGAAAGTTCAGCATGCATTTACGGGAAGCTCTCCGCATCCCCACGCGAGGAACATGGAAGCCATCTGCAAGTCACTGCAAATCAGATTCAGAATAAGTCTCCTAGGAAGCTATTCAATTCACAGAGACGTGCACACAAGGTGAAACTCAGGTTGAAGTAAGATGTGAGAGGTCTCCAACAAGGAGTCATAGCAAAACGGGTGCTGATCATGAGATGTATCTTCATTCAACCTTCTCAAACAGAGACAAGGGGGCTGCTGCATTTTGCATTCCAGCCCTTGTCCAGCTGGTGGAGTCTAGATCAACACCTTCTTTTGAATTTCTGCAAATCAAACATCTGTCTGCATCTCTAGGTTTGTACCACCCCCCTGAGAAAAGATTCTAATGATCATGTCGGATCAAACTAAGAATCTGGGACAAAAGTTTGAGATCCACACAGCTCCTTGTTCTCTGGAATCTATCGAAATGACACAATCTTTGTGTTTCTCCAATATCAAACTCTGGCGGCTTTCAACTTTGTGGAGACCTGGCCGTTCCAAATGAACAATGGAATGCAATGCAAACTTTTAGATTACCTGACGCTGGTAATGATGTTTGATGAGAGGCCAGAGCACTGCTTGATCACAAAGTGACTGATGACTGAGCACCTACCTGTTGGATTTTCTCAAAGTGTTCCAAGTTCCAAGCCAAGCTCACCAGGAGGTACATGATCAAGAGTTTGAAAAATGAAATTTGAGGGTAGCCTCTACAAAGGCCTTACATCTCTTTTTTGGACCCCATTTATGCCTCCCAGCCCTGCTGATGTGAGCGCACCTTGGATCGCTGAGTTCCATAGCTGCAGCAGACCTCCCAAACCATGTCTGGTTTCCACTGCTTTGCATTGGAAGCAACAGCTATTATACTGGAACTTGCTTCCCCCAGCTTGTTTAAGCTACGTCTTCCACAGCCCACCCAGCCCACCCACCTTCAAAACAACAAAATTTCCCCTAAAAGAACAACACTTAGAAACTGTGGCCGGTCGTTCAGTACACCACATACTTTGAAGCTGCTGGTTTTGCTACTGAGTTCTGGCTGTTAAGACTATTACAAGGATATTATAACTCACTAACAAGGTGTTATAACTTGTTATAACCTGTTATACTTGTTTCAAAGTTTATTGTTGGTTAAGTTAGTTATCCAATGTTTTTTTTAACTTTTCCAGTAACATGTTTAATGGTCTTAAAAATTAAAGAAGTTAGTAAAAAGTAATGTAAGATACTGATATCAAAAAACAGTTTTAGCAAATTTGTTTTATGCTTACTCGCTAAAGGTTTTCAAGTGTTCACTAAAAGAAATTTGTGTTTGTGTACCACATAAGATATAGTTTGCACGAGTTGTTTCAACATTGGAAGCTGATTTCATCTTAAGCAAATGTATGCTCACTATAATGAATATTTTTGTTTGCCAGCTGATGAAAGCTTCTGCCCATGAAGTCATATTCAGCAGGTGTATGCTCAATGAGTCCTTTTGGTTACCAGCTGATGCAAGGTTTTGCCCGTGAAGGCGCTTGTGGAGCCAGCATTCCAAAGGCTATAAGTTTGGCGTGTGTGGCTTGGTGGTTCAAATCACAATGTGTGGCAAGAACAAGCACACTCAAACACCAGGTGTTGTGCAGATTCATGGCATGCCTTGCAGTTGCATCATGGGGCAATTCAAACTGGTCAAGGTGGAGGGACTACACTGTACCTTGAATGTATTTCATCATTGAGTATGTATTTGGTCAAAGCTCAAAACATACACATTAACATAAATATAAAATTAGATTCTCAAGTCAAGTGTATGTGTCTATGATCTATCAACTCAGGACCCTGAGAATGATGTGCCTCGTGGTTGGATGAATAAAGCCTGCGCCCTTGTCCATGCATACAAGACTGGACACATCAAGTACCGCAAGAAGGCGCTGACAAGGTTGGCAGAGCGCCATAGCCTGAGGAAGCCCATGGAGATGCTCAGCAAACAGGTTGAGCAGCATGGTGAGAGGGCGTATGACAAGTGGATCTAGAATAGATCTGTCATGACTGTGCATCTTCGAGAGACTTTCAAGAATGAAAAAAGAATTGGAGATCAGTGAAGAAGCCTGTATAGGCTCAAAAAATGGCAGCCTCTACAGGCATACATTCTAGCCTGTGTAGGCTGGTTTTTGAATTCAAAGCATATGATTTTGAATTCAGGGATTTGAATTCAAAATCACAGAAAATGATTTTGAACTCAGGGATTTGAATTCAAAATCGCGGAATATGATTTTGAATTCAGGGATTTGAATTCAAAATCACAGAATTTGATTCTGAATTCAGTGATTTGAAGTCAAAATCACAGAAAATGATTTTGAATTCAGCGATTTGAATTCAAAATCGCAGAATATGATTTTGAATTCAGGTGTGAATTCAAAATCACAGAATTTGAGTTTGAATTCAGCGATTTGAATTCAAAATCACAGACTATGATATTTTGAATTCAGGGAGTCAGTAGTTTGGATCCAAGGTCATAACCGTTCACAGGCTCAAATATTTTTGTTGTCTTGGAAATTCATGATTGAACACCATATAATCCACACGCACATTTACGATTCTATGCGCTCTTGCAGTGTGTGATACACATGCAAAGTGTTGGTCTATACTAGTCCTGTAGAGTGCAGCCATGTCATCACAGCCTGCAAATGGTGAGCAGCTGCAAATGGAAGTGGCAAACCCGTCTATCATTGGCGACACTACTTTGGGCGGTGATGAAGATGCTCAAGCCATCGTTTTTGAATATGGTGCACAAGCCAGATGGGCATTACAATGTATACTTCACATGTGCACATAGCTTTTGCAAGCTTATGTTCTGGTCGGTGGTTAGCTTTTGCAAGCTTCTGTTCTGGTTTGTGGTTTTGCCCCACTGAAGGCTACTGCCTGTATAGGCTCTTGAAGGATATGCCTATGTTGCAGCACCACCTGCAAAATCAGCTGCTTGTAGCTGCAATTTTCTTTGATTTTTGTAAAAACATTTTACGCTGTAATTGGAGACTCTTTTTCTAGCACTTTGGAAAACCAAACACAATGGACAATGCAGCACATTTTGTTGTCATTGCAAAATCATTGGAAGCTTCCTAGGTTGGAAAAACAAATCATGGTGTATGATTTGAAATTTTAAATACCAACATGTTTGGTTGAAACATTCCTGGGATGTACTTGTGCGTGTGTCTTTTTGTTGCCCAATAGTTAGTTTGAAAGTAAAATATCTTTTGTTGCAAAACAAAAATGCAAAATTAAATTGTCTTTGTCACTTTTGAAAAAATGTCAATAGAATTTTTGAAAAACAACCTTTTGCTAACTAGTTTATAAACACCTATAACTAGTTACTAATTTCTTAGCTAATGTCCTTAACAGCCATAACTCAATAGTAAAACCAGCAGCTTCAAAGTACCCTTTCTTTTGTTCAGTCATGAAGAGGTCATGCATTCAGCAGTCCTCAAAGCTTGTGGCAGAGCTCGTTGGCTCAAGGGAAACAGTCCCGGCTGGGACGGTGGTCGCATTCTTGGGATATGAGGTTAAGCCGCGCGCAGGTCAGGAAAGACCTCTCCCTTGGTTGGGATTGTTGGCCGCCACGACTTCGCCTGCGCAGAGGAGGCGGCGGCAAAGATCGCGCGATCCAGCTGAGAGAGAGGGCCGACGACCTGAAAGCGGTGAGACGCTGGAGATAAGTGTGGCCGACAGGCGCTTGCACAACCTCACCAGGAGGAGAGGGCATCTCGCCCCAAGTCGCTTCTGGCGGGCGACGCTGGCCTTCGGAGAGCGCGGGCGGCGGGAGAAGATGTTTCCTCAGCGGCTGCTTATTCGGGGGTGACGCAGGGTCTGAGTAGCTCGGATCCTCGAATTGGAGTGATGGGGCTTCAACCGTTGTTGCAAGACGCTGTTCGTCTTCATGGGCATGATTTGGGAGGACGTGAAGGGCTGGGTCTTGGAGAATGGATCAACATGAGTTTTGGCGTCGTGGGCTTGGGTGGTCCTAAGTATATGGAGGGCTCAGGAGGTCACCAAGTGAGTAGGAGTCAAGGACATCCAGTTGGCGAAGTGTGATCAACAAAAAGAGACCATGTGAGAAGAAAGCCAACCGCCTTGATGACCAAGCTTTGTGGTCAAGAAGTCCATTTCAAGGTCCTCTTCAAGAGAGACTCAAGGAGTCACGCAGTTGGGCAGAGTAATCACCTGTGTGGGCTGGTTGAGTCCATCCGAACAGCGCCCAAAATTCACCTTCAAAGTATTATGGAGGAGTCGCAGAATCAGGCCACATCAGGTCAGCTTGCCTTGCCAAGATGCAGCGCGCACCATACCGAAGAGACTGCAGAGTAGGTGTCAAATCGATGGGAGTTCAATCGCCACACATAGAAGATCGAAGATGGCACCCTCGCCGTTCTGCGTTAGAACAAAGGAAGACGAGGAGGATGTGGAGCACCAGGGCGATGAGGCACCGTTCGTGGAGCAGGAAGTTTGCCGGGTGAACTACGTACCAGTTGGGGATGATCGAGGTGAAGAGATCCCGTCTCCTGCTGAGGCAGTCGAGGCTCGAAGATGGATGAGACCACACTCGCTGCAGAATCTTACATTGGTGGTGATGGGCGAAACTGTACAGGAGGTACAGAGGCCTTGGGGTGAACATCCAGCGCCCCGCCGACTGCGAGAAGACCTCGTTGTCGAAAAGGTTTGCCACGTTTCGTCTTCCGACTCCCCCTACATCAATGGG